CCCAGTATGATCTCAACTACTCCCAAATGATTCCAGTCACTTCCAGTATAATCCCATTATGATCCCAGTTGCCCCCAGCATGGTCCCAGTTGCTCCCCATTAACGCCATCATGATCCCAGTACCATTCCAGTATCTTCCAGTTGATCCCAGTTGCTCCCAGTGTGTCCCCATTTGGTTCCCAGCATGGGCCCAGGAACTCCCAGTAACCCCCAGTAAGGTTCCAGTCCCCACTGTAATCCCAGTCTATCCCAGTACAATCCCAGTGTGATCCCAGCTACTCCCAGTATGGTTCCAGTATGATCCTAGTCACTTCCAGTCACTCCCAGTATGATCCCAGTCACTTCCCACCACTCCCACTATGAACCCAGTGTGATCCCAGTCACTTCCAGTCACTCCCAGTATGATCCCAGTCACTTCCAGTCACTCCCAGTATGATCCCAGTGTGATCCCAGTCACTTCCAGTCACTTCCAGTATGATCCCAGTCACTTGCAGTCACTCCCAGTATGATCCCAGTGTGATCCCAGTCACTTGCAGTCACTCCCAGTATGATCCCAGTCACTTCCCACTGCTCCCACTATGAACCCAGTGTGATCCCAGTCACTCCCAGTATGATCCCAGTCACTTCCAGTCACTCCCACTATGATCCCAGTGTGATCCCAGTCACTTCCAGTCACTCCCAGTATGATCCCAGTATGATCCCAGTCACTTCCCACCACTGTCAGTATGCTCCCAGTATAATCCCAGTCACTTCCAGTCACTCCCAGTATGATCCCAGTCACTTCCCACCACTGCCAGTATGATCCCAGTATAATCCTTGTCACTTGCAGTCACTCCCAGTATGATCCCAGTCACTCCCAGTATGACCCCAGTATGATGTCAGTCACTTCCAGTCACTCCCAGTATGATGTCAGTCACTTCCAGTCATTCCCAGTATGATCCCAGTCACTTCCAATCGCTCCCAGTATGATCCCAGTCACTTCCAGTAGATTCCAGTATGATCCCAGTCACTCCCAGTATGACCCCAGTATGATCCCAGTCACTTCCAGTCACTCCCAGTATGATGTCAGTCACTTCCAGTCATTCCCAGTATGATCCCAGTCACTTCCAGTCGCTCCCAGTATGATCCCAGTCACTTCCAGTAGATCCCAGTATGATCCCAGTCACTCCCAGTCACTCCCAGT